GTGCCCAGGCGAGCGCCTTTGGGCACCTTCGCGCACCATCGCCATAAGGCGAGGCGAGCGCCTCTTTGAAGCGATGCGACTTACTCTTTTTTTTTTATTTATTTTTAATTTTTTGTTATAATGTTAAAAACCCACTAAAGAAACTCTAAAAAGATGAAAATCCACACCCAAAAATTGAAATACCCACACCCGAAAACCTTCCTCCTTCGTTGCCGCCGCCTTTGCCCAGTCACTGCACGACTATGAAGCCATCTTGCTTTCCTTCTCCTTCTTTGTAAACAGCCAAAAGATTTAGTCTCATCTCACCTATGACTAGTTGTGCTCGAGAAAGAAGAAAAGGAGAGTAATAGATGACGAAGAAGAAGAATCGGAAAAGAAGTAGAAGAAGAATTAAAAAATAGAATAAAAGAGTTGGGTATTTGATGTTTCATGGAGTCTTTTCCTATTCCCTTTTAGGTTCCCAAGGCACTAATTGCCTTTTAGGTTCCCAAGGCACTAACGGCATGCAATTATCTTGCCATCTGGCAGAAAAGGCAAGATGGCAATAAATTATTTTATTTCAATTAATTTGTGATTTAAATTTTATTTTATTTTAGTATTCTATTTATTTAACGTCTAATTTTATTATTTTCTTTTTAAATTTAATTTTTTTTATTTTTCTTAAGTTAAAATTTATATGCACATTAAATAGTTTTACAAATATCTTCGTCTAGAGTATTTTTTATACATAAAATTGCTATTTATTATTTTAAGTGCGCCTCGCTTCACTCGGGCAACGCCTTTTTGTCGCCCCTCGCCTCAAGGCGACAAGGAGGCTTATCGCCTTGAGGTGTGCCTTGCGCCTTGAAAACATTGGTAGAAGGTAGGTGTTCAAATGCAATAACTTGTCCGGACAGAATTGTTAATAGGCTAGCTTTCCTACTAAGGGCATCTGCCACTTTATTAGTTGTACCAGCTTTATGTTTTATTACAAAATCAAATTTCTGCATAAAAGCGATCCAACGGGGCATGCATCCGATTGATTGTTTTTTGAGTTTGTATATATTTAATTGAAAAGCGATCGGTAAAAAGTATAAATTCTTTCCCAATGAGGTAGTGTTCCCATTGTTTCAAGGCTCTACTTAATGCATAGAGTTCTTGTTCATAGGTGCACCATTTTTGTCTAGGTGGTGTGAGTTTTTCACTAAAGTACTCAATAGGGTGTCCTTTTTGGGCTAAAACGGCACCTATTCCTATGCCGGATGCATCAACGACTACTTCAAAGGGGTGAGAGAAATCGGGTAGAGCCAAAACTGGTGTAGAGCTTAATTTTTCTTTTAGGGTGTTGAAACTAGTAATCTGTTCTATATCCCAAAATTTTTTTCCCTTTTTTAAACAATTAGTGAGAGGTGCAGCAATGGTGCTAAAGTGTTTGATAAACTTTTGGTAGAAGGAGGCTAATCACAAAACACATTGAACATCTCTAACCGAAGTGGGTATTGGCCACTGTTGGATAGCTAGAAATTTAGAAGGATCACTAGAAATTCCAAATTGCGTGATATAAAATCCCAAAACGGCTATCTCAGTGGTCATGAAAGAACATTTAGCTAAGTTAATATGTAATTGGTGCTCGTGTAATGTGGAAAAAAGTGTTCTAAGATGTTCTATTTCAGATTTACTATAAACTAGTATGTCGTCAAAGTAAACTACAATGAAATTGTTGAGAAAGGGATGAAGTACCTGGTTCATCAAGCGCATAAACGTGCTAGGTGCGTTGGACAAACCAAATGGCATAACAAGCCATTCAAAGAGACCTTCAGTAGTTTTCAAGGCTGTTTTCCACTCATCACCGGGTCGTATGCGTATTTGGTGGTATCCAATTTTGAGATCTACCTTAGAGAATAGGTGAGCACCGCTAAGTTGGTCCAATAGATCAAACAAACGAGGTATAGGGAAGCGGTACTTTATTGTAATTTTATTGATGGCACGACTGTCCATGCACATTGGCCAAGAACCGTCTTTTTAGGAGCGAGCAAGACAGGGACAGTGCAAGGACTAAGACTAGGTATGATATAACTCTTTAGTAAGAGTTCATTCACTTGATCATGTAAAATTTGATACTCCTTGGGACTCATTCTATAATGGGGCAAATGTGGTAAAGAAGAGCCAGGATGAAAATCTATGCAATGCTGAATATCCCGTAAGGGTGGTAAGCCCTTAGGGTCTTTAGTTAGATCAGCAAAGTCTTTTAGGAGTTGTTGAATAAAGATCAGCAAAGTCTTTTAGGAGTTGTTGAATAAAGATCAGCAAAGTCTTTTAGGAGTTGTTGAATGATGGGGTGATCAGTAGTAGGAAGAGGTGAAGAAGAGTCCCCTTTAACTACCAATGTGGATCCCCTTTTCTAAAAAGGCTTTCCCACTGATTATGGAAAATAGCTGTTTAGGAGTATGAGATGTATCTTTTTTGGACTTAACATCCATATTGGAAGGGAGGAGAACAATTTTTTTGTCCATCCAAGTAAATTCGTAAGTATTGTCACGACCTCTATGTAAAGCTTGGAGGTCGTATTGCTAAGGGCGTCCCAACAAAATATGGCAAGCATCCATGTCTAACACATCACAGATAACTTGATCTCGATATTGATTACCAATGGATAAAAGAATGGTGCAAATAGAAGTTATGTGTGCCTCACCCCCTTTTCAGATCCAAGAGACCTTATAGTGGTTAGGATGGGGATCGACCTTGAGATTTAAAGCGGTCACCAACCTTTGGGGGACCATATTCTCACAACTTCCACTGTCTATGATCACGTTGTAAATCTTTCTGTTGACAGTGCAACGAGTTCTAAAAAGGGAATGTCTTTGGTTAACAGTCTCCACCTTTGGAGCAAGGAGAACTTTTTGAAGGACAATTAATAGGTTCGCCATCATCTGGTTCAATATAGGCAGTATCTTCTTCATCAAGAAGTTCGGGTTCTTGATCATCTTGATCGTCTTCATCGACTAAGGCCAAGGCCCATCGCTGAGGACATTCATTGGACACATCTAAAGCATTTCTCGAGAGTAGGTCTAGTATGTTGATTATTACCTTTTTTGGTTGTAGAATCAGTAGGTTTGGGAAGAGTCAAAGCTTTAGGGGCATCATCCGTCTTTGTAGTAGTAGAGGTTGAAGGACCATCCAAAGTAAAAGATTTGTTAGTATCCATACCTGATGTCTTACTGAGAGGCTGTTTGTCCCAAGCAACTCGTCGAAAAAGTGGTTTTACACGTTTCTTTTCCAGCTTTGCTTCAATTTTTGGGGCCATGGAAATAGCCTCGGTGAGTAATCCAATTGGTTCAATTGGTTGGGTGTTCATCTGATCTTGGATATCCTCGCGCAAACCATCAAGAAAGCGTGCAATCTTATAATCTTCATTTTCAGCCAAGTTTGTGCAAGCGCCCAAACGATGGAACTCCTCCGTATAGTCAACGATGGATTTACTGCCTTGGCGACATCGTTGGTACTGCTGCTAGAGTAGTTGCTCAAAATTAGCTGGTACAAAACGCTCGTGCATAAGGCACAACATTCGAGGCCAGCTATGAATGGGGCGCTTTCCAATGTGCTGGCGGTTGATCTCAAGTTGCTCCCACCAAGCTGACGCCCCCGATTGCAATCGAAAAGCAACCAGCTTAACCTTCTTGTCCTCTGGTGTTCTCGTGTAATCAAAAAAATTCTCAACATTCTCGACCCAGTCCAAGAATGCCTCTACATTCATCTTACCATTGAACGTAGGCATGTCAATTTTCATATGGAAATCAGTTCGGATACCACCCCTGTTTTAACATTCTCCATGATCAAAACGGGGGTTCTCACGAAAAAAGTCATCTTCCCTTTCTGAAGAATCGGAATCTTGGACTCTTAGTTGCAAATCTTGACCCCTTCGACCATACCCCTCCATATTTCTTGCACGATAAGGAGTTGGTGATCTGTTTCTTGGCCTTTCTTGGAGTTGTCCTCCCCGATTTGCGTTACCCTGATTCCTTAAGTCTAACCGCAGACGTTCTTGCTCCACGGTGATCAATTCCAGTTGTCGTCCGACATTTTCCAGAAGTTCATGGATGCTCCGCACGTTAGCCCTTACTTCTCCCAATGAATCTTCCACCAACAGCAAGCGATTGGTGGTTGTCTTGAGAGATAAAACTTGCTCTGCGGAAGGATCTCCCGCGAGTCCCTTCCTGGAAATCTCTGTGTTCTTCCCCATTATCAGGTCTCCAATTTCGTTTTAGAGTGCTCTGATACCAAATTTGGTGTATACCAAATGAAAGAAAACTCTGAAATTTCTTACTATTCAAAACAGAGAGGCGGGCTTTGGCTTTTATAAGCTGGCAGCCTGACGAACAACTAACTAACTAATTCTTTAACAGATGGTTTTAAATGTAAATGGCTAACGGCTATAAAACGGTAACTAAGAGTTACATCAACCATCTTCTATCATTAAAGTCACCACCAATGCACCAACTATCTCTGCAATAGCTATAGACATGACGAACTTCAAACCAGAAGTGTTTTTGCTCATGATAATCGGATGGACCATAAACATTTGTTAACCAAATCTCATTAGAGTTAGAGAGGGAAATACAAATGGTTAATGAAATGTGTCCGAAAGGTATAGATACCTCTTTCACATCCCTAGAAGCTTTTGTATTTATCTTTGCCTGGTTCTAGTTGTAATGTCGTACCAATCCATTTATCTCATGCAAAAGATATTGTCAATTAGATCTCACAATCAATTAACTTGATCCTTATATATTTATCAATCTATTGCAAGGAAACACTGATGATCCATCTTACATCTTTTTGTTAATATTTTATCTCTAATCAATATCGGATTTATTGAGGAATTATTGAGGAAATATTGGCCACATGAAAACTAGTCCATGAAAATCTTGCTGCACAGATAAAACTGAGGCTTGTTTTTTTCATTTATTAAAATTTTCCTTTTTCCTATATGACCTAATTAATTTTATAATTTTGGTCAACAGCATGTTCCCAAAATCAAATCATGAAACATTTTCACAAAAGCTGTACCAGACCTTCAAGAACCATAAACGCTTCATCAAGCCAAAATTGGCTCGCTCAGATTTTGAAATTGTCCATTATGCAGGAGATGTGCGTTTTTCTTTCTTTTAAAGTTATTTATTGAGAAATAAGAATCTTAAAGAGCAATCTACATTTTGTTTGCTTTTTTAGGTTGTATATCAGTCCGATCAGTTTCTTGACAAAAATAAAGATTATGTTGTCACTGAACATCAAGATTTGCTAAGTGCTTCAAAATGTTCTTTTGTTGCTGGTCTCTTCCCTCCTTCTCCTGAGGAGACAGCCAAGCCATCAAAGTTTTCTTCAATTGGCTCTCGTTTTAGGGTACTTCTATGCTATGGACTTGCATAATTTTGAATCATTTTTCAGCAAATGTCCTTCAAGACTGCATAAAAAGAAAATTACAGTAATTACGCTTGTTTGATCCATTATCTACAGTTACAACTACAGCAGTTGATGGAAACAATTAATTCAACAGAACCGCATTACATAAGATGCGTGAAGCCCAATACTGTCCTACAACCTGCCATATTTGAGAATGCTACTGTTATGCAACAACTACGTTCTGGTGTAAGTTGTAAAACAAATGTTTTATCCAAACTGAAATTAGCGTTAATTAATGTGCATTGGACACTGTCATTTGTGCAGGGTGTTTTGGAGGCAGTTAGAATCAAATGTGCAGGCTACCCTACTCATAGAACATTTTCTGAATTTTTAGCTCGATTTGAAATTCTTGCACCCGAGGTATTGGAAGGGGAGTAAGTATTTTTCCTTGTTTAGACTTGAAAGAAGAATATAAATGGGTGTTGTATTCTGCAATTTGTGAGTCCCTTTGGGGTATTTTAACATTTCCTTGCTAATGCTTATGAGCAGCTATGAAGAAAAGGTGGCATGCGAAAAGATTCTAGAGAAGACGGGGCTTAAAGGTTATCTGGTAAATCAAAATATACTGTCTTTTAAGACGTGTTGATGTCTGTTAGCTCTAAATTTTTTTTGATTAACAAATTAATGAACAAAATTTCATAGTTACACAAAAACCATGGTTACCAGCAAGATAAGAAGACTGGAAAATCTTGAATAAAAGATAAGGTTCATTCGATGTTTAAATAACCATGATCAAAACTTTGGCTATTCTGATTGTGCTGATATATACAGATCTTTTGCATACATCCAACACCTTATAAGGTTAGTTGGATTAAAAAAGGGGTGAAGCTCAAGTTACTACTATTTACGCTATTCCTTTATCCATTGAGAATAGTTACGAGGACCAAATTATATGTGACATCCTTGATATGGATGTATGCCATATCTTATTGGGTAGAGCATGACAATATGATACTCAAGCTATTTATAAGGGTCGTTATAATACTTACGAGTTTTCTTGGATGGGAAAGAAAGTTATACCACTTCCTTTAATGACTAGCACATCTTACACCAACAAAACCAAAGATAAAAGGCCAATTGTTCCACATTTCTAGTGGCAAACAATTATTACTTGAACGTGATGATCCTATACTCGGTTTGATCATTAAAGATTTTGAACCTATCGAGGATACAACTATCCAAGTTTTCCATCCTAAAATCCATGATTTACTCGAGCAATATGCCTACCATTATGGAAGTTCTTTCTCATCTCCCACCTATTCGTGATATCCAACATCACATTGACCTTACAGCGGGAGCATCTTTACCAAATCTTCCCCATTATTGAATGAGCCCACTCGAATACAAGATACTTCATGATCAAATACATGACTTACTCAATAAAGGACACATTCAGCGGAGCCTAAGTCCTTGTGCTGTTCTTGCTCTCCTAACACCTGAAAAGGATGGAACTTGGCGAGTGTGTGTTGATAGTAGGGCAATCAATAAGATTACTATCAAATATTGTTTTCATATACCACGAATTAGTGACTTATTGGATTAATTAAGTGGGGCTACCTTCTTTTCAAAGGTTGATTTGAGGAGTGGTTACCATTAAATTAGAATTCGCCCTCGAGATAAATGGAAAACTGCCTTAAAAACAAATGAAGGTTTGTTTGAGTGGTTAGTCATGCCTTTCGGCCTCTCCAATGCCCAGAGCACTTTCATGAGGTTAATGAACTAGGTTCTTCTTCTTTTATTAAATAAGTTTGTTGTTGTTTACTTTGATAATATTCTTATTTATAGTAAAACTAGGGATGGCCAAATGGAAGCGACTAACCGCACACTTGGAAACTTAGTCCGATGCCTTTGTAGTGATCAACCAAAACAACGGGACTTAGCCTTTGCACAAGCTGAATTTGCTTTTGACCATATGCAAAACCGATTGACAGGGAAGTTACTATTTGAGATAGTTTACACTAAACTCCCTCATTTAACCGTTGACCTTGATAATGTACCTTCATTTGTTGATTTTTTAGCTTGGAAGCATAACAAAATGGCAGAAAGGGTAACAAAGCTACACAAGGAAGTCCACAATCACATTGAAGAAGCCAATGCTAAATACAAGAGGGATGCAGATGCCAAACGAAGAGACAAAGAGTTTAAAGAGGGCGATCGAGTTATGATCCACTTGAGAAAAGGATGACTTTCAGCTAGTTCTGCTTGCAAACTGCTGAAAGAGAAATTCAGACCATTCAAAGTTTTCATGAAATACAGACCTAAGGCCTACAAGATCAAACTTCCTCCAGATTTCAATATCAGTCTTATCTTCAACGTGTTCGATATTCACTCCTATGCTGCTCGGATAGTTTTACTTAAACAAGTTAATTCGAGGTCGAGTTTTATTTTAGAGGGAGGGAAATTGATGTAACTAACTATGTCTAAGTTAGTTAGTTGGTTAGTTAGCTATTTTAGTTAATCTTTAGTTGGTTAGTTCCTTAGGCCAGATGCCTAGTTTTGTTATTTAGTAATGTCGTGGCTTGCTACCTATAAATAGGACTCTTTTGTACACTTTGGAGGCATTGATCGTTTGATAAGAATTCTCTCATTTGAGTTGCATCAGTTTTATTCACCTTCAGCCTTTTATTAAAATCCCTTAGACCACGGACATTCCATGAAAGAATTTTCATGCTACTTTTTGAATGGGGGAGAGAGATTCCGACTACCTTAAAATATGGATGAACTTGATTCTCAAAGATTTTTGTTGATTGGATCTCAGTGACGGGAGAGTATCAGACTTGTTTTTCTCAAGACCCGAGATTGTGGGGAAAGAATCTTCTTCGAGTCCAAACAAGTAGTTGAAATCTTCACAAAAAGAATGTTATGAGAAATCGGCTAAATGTGCTAAAGAGAAGGGCGTAATTCAGGGCAACTTTGAAGTCTCTTCGGTATTGCTACCAGACTCAACCCCTAATTTCCGTAATTCATCTATTTTACTTACTACCTCAGTAAATGCCAGCATCTTTCCGTATTTAGAAGAAACATGAATTTCTATTGATCCCTTTGAAAGAAGAGCATGAAGATCATTTCTTGGAATATTTGGGGACTTGGGAAATCTTAAAAATAGGTTGGCCATTAAGAAATTTATTTGTAGCAATTGCCCAGATTCAAAAATCCAAGCTGCAATCAATTGATAGATTTGTTGTAAAATCTCTGTGGAGCTCCAAAGATGTAGATGGGCTGAGATAGACTCTTTCGGCAAGTCAAGGGGCATTCTAATTCTTTGGGATGAAGCAAAGATTTATCCAGGAAGTTCTTAAAGGGGGATTCTCAATTTCTATTCTGGTTTCTTTCTCAAGCCACAAGGAAGCCTGGATAACTAATGTGTATGGACCTTTTGATTATAGAGAGGAAATTCTTCCTAAAAGAGTTGCAAGGTCTTTCTTATTACTGCGATAAACCATGGTACATTGGAGGTGATTTTAATATGATTTGTTGGTCTTCAGAGCGGTCTTCAGGTGGTCGAATTACTAAAAGTATGAGGAAGTTAATGGTATCATTAATGAGCTTGATCTAGTCGAAATTCCCCTTTTTCAAGTGGAAAGTACACTTGGTAAAAAATGGGGAATGAAGCTACTCATTCCTTACTGGATAGATTTTTTATTTCACACGATTGGGAAGGCATCTTCGACAATTCTAAGGCCACTAGAGTGGTTTGCATTAATTCAAATCCTTTTCCAATCTTTCTGGAAACTGGTAATTTCGTATGGGTCCGAGCCACTTCAGATTCTATAATTCCAAGTTCATTGATAAGGAGTGCATTGAATTGGTTGAATTGAAGCTTGCAAGTGACTCCTCTTTCAGTTGGCTGGCTATGCTATTTACAAGAAGCTCAGGAATTTAAACATTTCCAATAAGCAGTGGAGCTGGTCACTATAGAAGCAATGAGCAGCCACTGATGCGAATCAAGAATCATGTGGAATTGCACGAGAAGAAGTTTCTCAGCGAGCTTCCTTGAAAGCAGATCTATTGGATCATTATTTCTTGGTGGAAAGAGACTCATTCAATAATGCAAAATCCACTAGCCTAAAGAAGGGGACGAGAACTCTGGATTCTTTCATAGAATACTCGTAGCTAGGAAAAGGAAGGCTCTCATTTTGGAATTAATAGTGAGCAAGGGACAGTTTTTGTTAATCAGTCTAAAATTGAGGAAGAAATCCTAAGATTTTATGCCAATTTGTATAGCAGTAATGGATGTCCTAGGTTCTTTCCTAGAGGTATTTGTTGGAGTCCAATCTCTTCCTCTGATCGTGTAGTTTGGAAGGTGACTTTGAAGAAATGGAGATCCTTTTGGCTCTGAAAAGCTTGGCAAGAACAAGGCCACTCGCCCTGATGGCTTTACTACCATATTTTTTTTATAAATTCCGGGATTTCTTTGAGGAAGATTTTCTTAGAATGTTCAAGGAATTTCATTGCAACGGGCACGTAAATTCTTGTCTTAAAGAGAACTTCGTTTGCTTATTCTTAAAAAGGAAAAAGGCCTAAGGGTTAAAGATATCAGGCATATCAGTCTTACTACCTCAATCTATAAAGTTCTTCCAAAGGTCCTCAGACTCCTCACGTACGCCTTGGTTATCTCTTTAACCTTCTCTCAAATCAGTGTGCTTTCATCAAGGGTAGGCTAATTCTAGACCCTATTCTAATTGCCAACGAGCTGGTGGAAGAGTACAAGAAGCTTAAGAAAGGCGGTTGATCTAGAGAAAGCATTCAATATGGTGGATTGGGATTTCCTTGAAATTGTTTTAATTCAGAAAGGCTTCAAAGTTAGATGGGTTAAGTGGATCAAAGGGTGTGCTTGGGGAACCAAGTTTTCAGTCTTTGCTAACGGAAGGCCAAGGGAATGAATTCAAGGTTTAAGGTAAGGTGATCCATTTTTGAGCTTTCTTTTGGATAGTATTTATTCAAAAGGCCTCATTGATGGTTTTGTGGTAGGAAGGCATCCGGTTCATATCTCTCATCTTCATTTTGTGGATGACACACTTCTGTTTTGCAAGAATGATGATTCCATGATAAACTCCCTAGGTAAAACTATTGAAGTTTTCAAATGGTTCTCTGGGTTGAAAGTCAATTGGAGAAGAAGTTAGTTTGTGGAATTAATTTGGATGTCTCAACCGTATCTTTGCTTGCTGCTTGTCTTAATTGTAAGGTGGATACTTTGCCCTTCTTTTATCTTGGCTTACCTCTTGGTGGAAATCCCAAATTCTTAGGACTTTGGCAGCTGGTACAAGAGAAAATTGTGAAAAATTAGACATATGGAGGCACTTTCATCTTTCTTGCTGTGGCAGGCTCACTCTTTGTAAGGCGGTTCTAGCCAATATTCATATCTACTACATGTCTTAATTCCAAATGCCCTTGTCAGTTCGAAAGCAGATTGAAAAAAGCATGCAACCTTTTTTTTGGGAAGGTAATTCGGCTGAAAATTTGAAACATTTGGTTAAATGGAATATCTCTTCTCTTCACTTGAAGCAAGGAGGCTTAGGTATTGGCAATCTCAAGCAGAAGAATCATGCCCTTTTAGCTAAATGGGGATGGAGATTCACCCAAGAATCTGCCTCTCTTTGGAGGATGGTAGTAAACAGCATTTATGGGTCGGATGTTCATAATTGGCACTCTTTGGAAAAGAAGAATGATTGCTCTCGTTGTCGCCGGGTTAATATTTTTAAGCATTGGAGCAAGGTGCAGCATCATTCCTCTTTCATTGTGGGTAATGGTAGCAGAATTTTCTTTTGGCAGGACATAAAGCTTGGATCTTCCAGTCTCAAGGATTGATTCCTTTGCTGTTCATGATTATTAAAAATCCTTTTAGCTCTATTTCTGATTCATGGGATGCTATTACTTCCTCTTGGAATCTAGAAATCCGTAAAAGCCTCAAGAATTTTGAGGAGGAGGAGTATGTATCTCTTATCTCTTTGCTGTCAATGGTGTCTTTATCAGTCAAGTAAGATCAGATTTCTGGAATTGGAGAGTTCGGGGTCTTTTTCAGTTTATTCCTTATCTTTATCCTTTGAAGTTACAACATTTCTACCAAAGGAAGTTATTTCGGTAATCTAGAATTCTAGCTGTCTTAAAAAGTTAAGCGTGTTCATTTGGATTTTTCTGCTAGGAAATTTGAATACTGCTGATATTCTCCAAAGAAAGTTTATTAAATCTTTGCTACAGCCTTCCATTTGTATCCCTATGTCACTCTCACGGTGAAAGTCAAGACCATATATGTGGCTAATTTATTTTTCAGGGAGATCGTTCGCCAACATGGAATCCCTAAAACAATTGTTTCAGATCGAGATGTCAAGTTTCTTAGCTATTTTTGGCGCACTTTATGGCGAAAATTCGATACCTCTCTCAAATACAGTATAACTAGTCACCCCCAAACTGACGGCAGTAACAAATCAGACCTTAGGCAATTTAATTTGGTGCCTCTCCAGTAATCGACCCAAGCGATGGGACCTTACTCTTGCCCAAGTCTAATTTGACTTCAATCATATGCGGAATAGAACAATAGGGAAGTCCCCATTTGAGATAGTCTACACTAAATTACCTCGTCTAACAGTTGACCTTACTAAACAGCATTCCATTGTACTTTTTATCAATATTTCAAATGCCAGTTCTTATTAGCAAACAGATTGAGCAAAGTTTGAGATCATTTTTTTGGGGAGATA